CCAGTATGCTGACACACGAGATCCACATCGACATCTGCACGTCCTCTAAAGAAGATCCCCAATAGTGAAGGTCCATTTGATATATGACTTAAACGTTTTCAAGAAGTCTTGATCACCCCCGGAGAACTCATCATTACAAGGGTCGTCCCCACCAAGAGACTTGGACCACGTCATGTTATTCGTCATCATACGATCTCTGGCCCTCTGAAATTCCCTCTCCAGGGTTTTCACAGTCGGCCTTGAAGCTGCAGAAGACGTGTTCAGGATAGGCGAATGCCAACCAATTATGCAAAGAGGCTCTCGGAAAGACCGGTCACAACGAAATTGCTTGTGAAAGAATGGATCAAACGCAACTTGCGTTTGCCAGTTGAAGGTGGCATAGTGATCGAAAAATGTCGTGATGACGCTGGTTGCCGACATACTGTTGCCACTGTGCGACAGCAATTTGCAAATGCGTGCTAGGAGTACTGAGATGTGTATTCCTCCCAAGTAGCCGAATCGTGCGCCATAAATCCCCCATATCTTGGCCCACTCCTTGACCAGTTGGTATGCCAAGCGGAACTGTACGAGGTCCGGAATAGAGTAGAGTAAGTAGAACAAATCTCTTGCGGGCTTCAACTTCAGGAGTGTCTCGAACTTGAGATCGAATGCGGGATCCGTCGGCGGTCGCCTTATAATTTCAGGCCAGCTGGTGGTAATCGTCAGTCATCAGGTATATCGTGTAGCAAGTGTGGAGGCTACCTACGCCACAGCAATGTGCGGAGACTGGCAGTACTGCAAGTCCACCCTAACACCTCGAACCTCCAGAATCAACATAGTGCCTGACTTCGACTTGACTTTCCGCAGAACTCGAACGACATCCGAGGCTGATTTGGCGATCCTCTGCCTGACTAGTCGGAAAAACGTTGCAGCACTGCAGGCTCCGATGCAGAAACAGTCCAGGTCAGAATCTGTAGTCCAGACTCCAAGCCCGTAAGAGCCGACTGGTATAAGCACGACTGGGAACCGTCCAGTGAATGTGTATGGGCCATTGCTGACACTGCTGTCAAGAATGACTGATTTGACAAGCTCGAATGCATCTCCTCTGATATTCTCTTCACTATCAGTTGGAATGCACTGTCGACTCTGGAGGCACTTCTGCAATGAATTTGTGCTGGACAACCCTGCGGGCGCTTGAGCAGGTAGCACTGTAACGGCCGTGTGCTGTGGCGTAGGTGCTGCATCCAACCCTGGTGTCTGCCGCTGTTTGAGAAGAAGGCATCGCACACCCCAGTGATCACTTGCATGAGACACCGGCTCTTGAGTCTCCTCTATCCCTGCAGGGCTTCTGTTGAAACCGAACATGTTAAATCCCCGGACGGTGAGAACGCCCGGGCCCTTGAGAAGAATACGATCGTACCTTTGCAGTCGGTTGTTGAGTCCACTGCCCATTGTGACGGCTGCTAAGGGGTTCTCCTGGGGGTCGTATGTGGCCCCTTGTTCTCCTTCGAAGGCATCACACAGGTTTCTTGGCTTTTTCAGATTATCAGAAGACTCGGCCCCCTCCATCCGGGCAACGGCCCAAGAATCACAAACTGAGCTTCCCGCAGCATAGTCTCTATGTGAATACAGGGAGACCTCGTCTGTCGTGATATAGTACTGTTGACTGCATGTTCAGGTGTAAGAAAGAACGTTGCCACGTGAGATCCGCGAGACCCAGACGTGTGGTATGTGACTACCCAGTATGATAATGCGTGTATCACACGTTTCGCAGCACAGCACATCTGTAAGCCCTTGGCTTAAGTGAGTGGCTGCGAGGATGACAGGTAAGGCATGCCCTGCTCATCATGGGTGCCGATGTGGTCAAATGCCAGAAGGCAGCATCCCTTGTGTCGGCGTTGAAACGGCAAAAAGCCCCACCTGAAACTATGCTGGCTGAGAACGAGAACATTGAGAAGGCTAGGGAGCGGCCCAGTGCTCAGCCCGTCAGGTAAGCCGTGGGTGGCGAAGGGGTAGATCTGTTGAATATTCTGATTGCTCAGCAGATGAGTGAGGAAGTCGTCAGTGACCTCTTGCAGGACTACCACGTCAGCCTGGGCCGTCTTTGCCAGTAAGTTGCGAGCAATTAGAGGATATCGAGCTGAGCAAGGAGGCTACTCGAATTCGGCCAAGACGTTGTAGCTGGCTACGATAAGGTGTTCCGGTATGCAGACTTCCGGAGCCACGGGGGCTTGGTGAGCAGCCCAGCATTGCAGGGTATTGGAGAAATGGTAGGACTGGCGGGGCTCAATTTGAATCGCATTGGTCGGAGACAGTGCAAAGTCGGCAGAGAGTGAAAGCCGTTCAAGCTCGAACTCGCCCGATGCTATGTCAATACGCCCATGAACTTTCATGCACCCAGTCGATTCATCGCGGATAAGCAAATGTAGTTGACGTACTTCCCACGAGACAGGTGGCAACAGTCTGAGTTTTTCAACCAGGTACCTTCTCTTGGGTGATTCAGGGGCCTCTTTCGCACTGCGCTACTGTCATGTGCATATGGAATGCCATGTTGTTGCCCCATTGCAAGCCGTCCAGGACAAGCTGGCGGAGTGAAGCAAGTCTTTCCAAGCGTGTGGGATTTTCGTCCTGAATGAACAAGGACGTCGATTGCTTATGTAGAAAAAGCCCAGGAGAACTAAGGCATAAATGTAAACCGGGTGTCGCGAGGATATCTCGAGCTTCTTGAAATATAGGTAGGATCACAGCCAGCGTTTGTTGAAGA